TAGATGCCACGGGCTGAGCCTGTCCCAAAGCTTCCCTCCGCTGCTCAAAAACTAAGCCATCTTGCTGCGTTTAGCACTTCTCACCAGACCACCCACCCAGACGCGGATACACAAACCACATGTGTGAGGAATGCTGTTCGGCTAGGAAATCAGTATCAGTATTTCAACCTTATTACTTGCACAGACGGCCCTTTTAGTGCGACTCATTTGTTTTATCTTTTCAATAGCTTTGATTATTTTCTTTTAATGGCCTGGATTTATCCTTTTCTACCCTTTTGAAACCTCAGAACTCTGTGGTGGGGAATGCATGTGGTGGAAGACATGATTATGAGGGGAAAATGAGCAAATAACTTTGCCTTTTCTCACCATCTATCTCCCCACTCCGGTGGCCACCTATGCTGGGCAGATCACCCGGTGCCCCGAAACGCACCTGGATTACTATAAAAGCAGACTCAAGGAGCCTTTCCATTCAGGTGGTAGATTAGTATTGCCGTTATCTAAGAGCCACAGGGCCCGGTTATAATTACTGGAGTGTTTTTTAATTTGTGCCATGTATTTCTCTTCCTAGCTCCTGGGGACGATATGGGTTACTCTTCTCTAACTAAGGGGAAATTGAGACCAAGAGGCTAAGCTGAGAGTCAAGGACAATTTAACCACCTCTGACAAAGACTGGAAATGCCCCTACAGAAGGGGACCACATAAACAGGAAGGTGTGGATACTGTTACCTGGCAAAGAAAGCAGAAGCATTTAAATGTGTTCAGTAGTTTCTATTTGGGTGGTGTCTGGCAAAAAATAAAATAAAATAGCCTTAATGATTCTATTAATCAGAAAAAAAAGACCATTACTTTTGGACATAAAACTAGTCCCCGAATTACCAACCAGAGAGGTGGGGGCCCGGCCTTAGTTGATCTGTCATCCCTCTTCAGGTTTCCTTGCACTGTGGGACATAATTGAGACTGTGGAACAAATGCATTGAGGAAGACTGTGTGGTGCGCCCTTGGGTGAGTGTACTTCAGTGGGCCCTCGATGCTGATCTTGACTCTTTCTCCACAGTGGAGAAGATGTAAGGTTCTTACTTCCCCCAAGGCAAATGAATACCTATGCTGAAACAAGGGAAGACAGCTCAATTCAAGTATGGTCATTAGAAGGCTTCACTGCTACCCCAGCCCAGCTGGGACTGGTGCTTCCACATATAAAATCACTTTCTAGCTGATGGGAGACAAGGGAGTCCACTATAATCCCCTAAATGGCTTTTCAGCCTGAATGAAAATAGGGTCAAATTCTCATTTTATTGAAGTCTCTTTACTACTAAGTAAGAGCATCACATCCAATTCTTGGACTATTTGCCAAAAAAAAAAAAAAGAGTATTTTTTCTCATTGTTGTAAAGTTCTCCCTTCTAATCAAGGTAGTATTTCCTGCAGCTAAAATAAATGCAAGGTCTTTGTATGATTGACTCTGTCTAGCTATAGCATATTGTTTTGTTTATGAACAAAACCTTCCAAAGTAGTGGAGGAAAAAGAAAAATATATATGCATAAGTAGCCCAGTTTATTCCAATAATGCATCTCATTGCATCTTGCTCAAATCTTTGCAAAGCTTTTTAAAAAATTACTGGCTTTGGGACACGGAAAATGGTTTCAGACATTGGGAATCTAAAATGGATGAGGCGTGGACTCCCTGCCCTTGGCTGGTTTTGGACACACTGTCCTTTTTCTGGATGCCTCAGATTTCTCCATTTGTTCTTCTTTAGAAATAGCATCGCTTCTTGAGAAAAGGCTAGGGGCTTCATTTTTCCTGTATACAATGTAAAGCCAGACTTTGGTCAAATGACTCTTAGCAAATCAGTAAGACTATACATTCTAAAGAAAACAGTGCTGCAATAGATTATATATGCTTTTAAGTAAAACACCTACTTCTATTGACTTGTACTTACATTTCAACATGAGTTTTAGAGATGGGAAATACATCTCGTGTGCCTTGTAGTTTACATAAGAGCATGTACATACGCATACACAATGTATCTTTCAATATAACTACACATACACACTCCATTAAAAAGGTACTGACAGATTTATAAAATGTATTGGCCTTGCACTGTTAATCTCAAGAATACGTTTTTACTTAATTTATTTTTGCACTGCATGGTAGCTCTGGCCACCATTAAGGATCTGTCAGCATTTCCATCATAACTCTATTTTCAGAATATTGGAGTACAAGTGCCAAAATACATATTTACAGTTTACAGACAGCGGTGGCTTTGTCCTCCTTTTAAATTGGCTTCTTCAATGCATCTTTACGAGGAATATTCAGGGATGGCAGTGCCTACATAATAAAAAGCATCCTATCAAACACAAGAGGTCAACGATGTAGACTTCCAACCCAATGCTACACTAAACCACGGGAATTAACTCCTTAACATTCACTGCAGCCATGACAGTCTCTACATCACAGTCATAGCTTAAGAGTAACAGTCCAAAGCAAGATTACTCTGATCATATGTATATATATGTGTGTGTGTGTATACATATAAATATATATAAATATAGGAACAGTACATTGCATTAGTATACAAAATGCTAAAGGTTTAAAGTAATAAGCACATAGCAAATTACTCCAGAGCAGATCACTTCTACAGGGAGAAAAATGAACACAAGCCACCAAACACAGACACTGACCATTTCCAACACTGAACAACCAACTCCATTATGTAGGTACAGTTAAAAGACTTAAGAATCAAGTCTCTCTTAAGCAAGCATATTAACTACATCTGTGGGGCCTTGAAATGGCAAATGGGATGTTATATGCAAGTATTAATTAATTGTGTGTATGTGTGTTTTAAGATTAGATAAGTCTGCAAAAATGTTTTTTGGTGGAAGAAACTTTTTAGTGGGGAAAAAAACCCTCAAATTTGATTGGCTCTTACACAAAAAGGTAATTATTCAGATATACTTAGTCATTTTAAGTGTTTTGGACTCTCTCTTATACTTTTTTTTCCTGGAACCTATGTCTCCTGACCTGAAGTTTTTGTGTTACTCCCTACTTTGATACAACGTGAAGGCATATAAAGACATATCCATTTGCTTACATTAAGAGAGAGAGGCAGATTGTGGTCAAGATAATGAAATAGCTGCAAAATATTTTTGTTGCTAACATGGCTGTTATAGCCTAAGGTAGAAAGGCCTCCTCCACCTCACAACATACACCCCAACATGCACCCTTGTTGCAAAACCAGAGGCAAAAGCTACTTTATAAGCCAGGGGGGAAGGGGAAGTTCTGTACATACATTTTTTTCCCCTTCAAATCACTGGGGAAAAAAATTAAAGTTTATCATATGCTGGCTGGTTCAAACCACATTCACATTCACCCAATTAATTTTATTTGAAACATCTACATATATATATCAAAGAAAACTGCCATTTTTCCTTTGTGCTTAAAAAAACCAAAGCCACTGTTAAGGTACACATGTGTCAAAGGTATTCGTAACAGGTTTCAAAATTGAGTGTTTATAAATGTGGCAGAACTGAGTGGGTTACTTTACGAAAAGTATAGGCCAGTCTCAGTGGCTCAACCCATAATCCCAGCACTTTGGGAGGCCCAGGCGAGTGAACTGACTGAACCCGTGGGTTCGAGACCAATCCTGGGCAACTTGGCAAGACTTCGTCTCTACAATTAAAAAAAAAAAAAAAAAAACAATAGCCAGGCGTGGTAGCACACACCTGTAGTTCCAGCTACTTGGAAGACTGAGACGGCAGGATTGCCTGAAGTGGCCGTGAATGTATCACTGCACTCCAGTCTGGGCAACAGAGTGAGACTCCAACTCAAAAAAAACAAAAAAAGAGAAGTATAACTACTTGAAATTAATTCAAAGGGTATTTAAAAATTGATAATGAGAGCAAGAGTACCACTTTAAAAAGATCAATGTGACTCTTACTCTATCAGAATTTATTTTGCTGCCTTGATTAGTAGATTGAGAAGTTTTTCTGAATTTTATCTATTTATGAACTTACATTTTATGATATTCTGAAGAAATGTTCTTTACTGTCTAATTTTCAGACCTAAAGTTTACCACTATAATAGCTGCCCCTTTTATTATCCTTTTTGTTTGGTCACTTTGTAGCTTACCTAATTTCTTGGTGAATAATTTAAGGAACAAAGAAACTTTACATTGCCAAATCATAGTGTTTGTCACACAATTTAGTCATAAGAATAAAAATGGCCCCAACTACACATATATGTTTCTAGTTAAACTACACAGGTATATTAGTTAAGCCACATAAATTCCTGGTTTAATTAGAATATGAGAATTAGCAGTTAGAAATTTTTAAAGATTTTTGAATTTTGCAACATTTCTATATAAACATTGTCCTCCCCATTCAGCTGTAAAGTTAAAAGCAAAACACAACTAAAACCACACAATTTGTCACCTTATGTCGAAAAAGGCTCAGAAAATTTCTCTGTAATTGCACATTGAGAAGAGGACTACATAACAAATGCTTCAAGTATGATTCATGCCAATTATCATTAAGAATCGCAACATTACTGAGAAAGTACACTTGTCCTCTGGGAGGACGCTTCAGGGAAGTAATTTACAAGGAGCATGGCTGTATTATAATTTTTTAAAGGAAAAAATAGTTTCTTTGGCTAGAAAGAAACAGTGTAAAAAATCCCCTTTTTAAAATGCAGAAATAACTCCATTATCAATCTGCATTTATATTACTGCCCAAAAGAATGGGTCTGGAAAGACCATTTTCTGTACAGACACTAGTTAATCTCTGTATGAAAGACAGCATCTGGCATGGGAACAAACAAGGGAGATACTGGTCTATTAGCACACATAGAGACTTTCTTAAGGCTGATCCAGTGACGAACCTTTGGATCCAGAAGTATTTCTTCATTTCTTTTCTTTTCAGTTGAATTCCTAGTTAAAAAACTTGGAAGATGAGCTGTTCTTACTTTTCATTTCTCCATTTATGGAGAAGATGGAATAATGACACCAAAAGTACTTTGGTTTTTCTTTTAAAAATAATTTGCTTTCTTTTGCATGCCACAGGACAGATTTCTAGTTTCAAAACAAGGGTACAACAAGAACAAAATATCCCCCCCTTCCCAACCATCTTTCACCAACACAAGAAATCCTTCTGGAAACATTAGCAAGCGACTAAGCAGGTAACGAACCACTGAATCTACAAGTTAATACATACTTTCTTATGGTAGAATAACCAAGAATTTTCCCCCGAAGAAAGATTTTAATTTTTCAATTATAAAAGAGTCTAAGAGAATCATATGTGAACAAACAAAAATCTCTTATTCCAGGTTTTTATGGTTAAAAAAAAAAAAAAGAAACATACTGGCAGCTGAAGAAAGCTGAAACTCTTACTAATAAATAGATCCAAATTAAGAATTTCTACAACTTTTTTTAGAAAACAGGACCAGGATTCTTTTTCTTGTTTTTAATGGTGATCCTGCGGAATGCCTTTACTTCCATATTTACCTAATATTATAACAGTAAAACAGACACGAGAATGTTGATGACAGCTCAACAATGCTGGATTCAGGACGTTTACAGATACACTTTTGTTTAAAAGTCCTACAGGTTTATTGACTAAGGCTAGACAGCAATTCATATGATCCTATTTGGTGCATTTTCTACCATGGTCCGAGATCATTACATGGATACAGCCAAGGACTGGGCCCCAACTTTCAGGAAAAAGACCACAAAATAGAAAACCAAGGTGGCTATTTGGTCCCCCGAGTTGATAATTTGTGTCCCGGAACTGGAAAAACAAAAGGTGGAAAATACAGACTGCAACAGGTTAAAGGACTTGGAAAAAGTTGGTGGAGAGTGGCACGGTATACAAGTAAGGTCACTGGGCTTGGGACGGCAAGGGCGCTGCATTGAAAGAGCATCCATGGGACCAAGTGCTTCTAATGTCTGGTGGTGTCATTCCCTCAACGACTTTAGGATATCTGTATGCGATAATAAATAGATCAGTTATGTAATAAGGCAGTGTGTTGAATATGCATTCGTCCTGTGGAATGAACCACCACAGAGAGAGATACATGATACCATAACACATTCTTTAAGTTTTCTTGTGTTGTGTTTGATTTGTTTGTTTTCAAGGCTATCCAGGCTAACTCTTCCCGGGGATTTCCTTGGAGAGAAGAGTGGTCCGCTGAGGCTGGTTTGCTTAACCTCTCCTTTATCAAGAGATGATGACTGGCTTTAAAGAAAAATAAAGCTGAAGGTTGTTTGATTTTTATTTTTTCCCTTTTGGTTGCATCATTCTGAGTGTTTTCATATAAACAACGACAACAAAAAAATCACAACCAAAAAATAGTTTTTGATGCATCCAGTTGTTGTATCCTCAGGATGTTCCAGATGTTTCCAGGTAACTCTGTAGTTTACGGACTGTGGTTTTGTCCAGCGAGCAAAGATCAAAATCAAACGTTGTGTTTGTGATATGAAAGTGTCCAGTTTCTTCTATAAGGTTCACAATCTAGAGGAGTAAAGAAGAGAAAATGTGGGTAATTGACAGCAGACATCAAAAGGCATAGAATGAAAGACAGAAGGGGTCAAATATGGAACCAATGATAAATATCATTATTTACAGCAGGGAGGTCCTACTCCATTAATAGCATCAAACCATTTCTTAACCAATTTAGTAAGTCAAAGGTATATTAAGCCTTTGAAATCCTCAACTAGAGCCTGGCCAGCTTTTCATACCCTTTCAACTGATTCCCGCTTTCAAGTCATCAACAGAATATCTTACAGTGACTGGGTGGTTGTGGGGAGATGACATTTCAAGAACAGTTTAAAAATTAGTAACTGATTGCCTGAGCCCAGGGGTTCAAGACTAGCCTGGCAACTTAGTCGATCTTGTCTCTACAATACATCAAAAAATTAGCCAGACGTGGTAGTGCACACCTATAGTTCTGGCTACTTGGAAGACTGAGGCAGAAGGATAGCCTGAGCCCAGCAGTTTGATGTTGGGGTGGCCATGAGCATGCCACTACACTCAAGCTGGGTAACAGAATGAGACTCTGACTCAAAAAAAAAAAAAAAAAAAAAATTAGTTACTGAGTCAATGAACAGTGGCTATACTTACTAGATGTAAGGAAATCTAGCCCGGAAATAACAAAACTTTTTACAAAAGTAAAAGACATACATATATATCTACATAAAAATCATTTTTTTCGATTATATAATTGTTGGAAATTTAGAACATATAGAAACTCACAAAGAAAAAATAAAAACCATCTACAATCCCACCCCTTGAGGATGATGTGACAGGAAGAGGACTCAAGGGAGCCTTCTGGGGTACTAGATCTGTTTGTTGTTTGATTTGGGTGCTGGTTATATGAGATGTGTTCACTTGGTGAAAATTCATCTGGCTATATGCTTTATTATACTTCAACAAAAAAATTAAAACATATATTTATTACTTATAGTTGTGTTCAGCTGATTCCCTTGGGTACTTTGAGGAGATTTTAAATATTATCTAGAAAAGGGATACCTTTGTTTCCTCATTTGGAACAGCTATACCACATTTCTTATTGTCCTGGCTCCAATTTTCAGAAGAATGTTAAATGACAGTGGTGACTTACTGTCCTCTTGCCCTGGCTTTCAGGAGGACACTTCTAGAGTCTCAACGTAAAGGATGATATTCGTTATTGGTTTGAGAGACTTTAATCATACAGAGCATCTCTCCATTCCTATTGTACTAATAACTTTTTTCATAAATGGGTGCTGTGCTTGGGCAGTGTGGGTTTTAAGTAGGTGTGCTAGGGGTGAAAGGGAGGGATGAATGTTGATTTTAGCAAGTTTTTTGGAAGAGGGAGGAAAATTCATATCAGGATAATAGAAAAAAACATTTGCACAGAGTAAACATCTGGCAAACTTCCACTTAATTTTGGCTGTTACTTTCTATCACCTTCGATTTTTTTAGTTCAATAAACTTAAAAAAATAGAACAATTTTAATTATTTAGCTTTTTACTTATTGAACAAAGTTTTAGATGATCTAATGCCGGGCTGGAAAACAGCAGAACTGAAACTCTTAATTTTTTCTTCTTACAAATAGTTTTCTTTAAAAAATAGTAAATTTGCAAACTATTCCCTACAGATTAGTGATTCTTAATGGAAATCACTCCCAATTCCTGATGTATTACTTGACTTCCACAGAAGCATTAAGACATTTTAAACTTCAATTCAAATAACTGCTTCACTCCAGGTTGAGATGCTGTTGCCTTATCCAATGCCTGGAACTATTTTTTAGAGATAACAGTGACTTTAATAATAAAACAAGTTACTCTCATTGTGGAACTATGACAGACACTGTAAACTGACTACTTAATATCCAATTATCTCTTCTTCCTTACTAACACAGAAGCCCGATTTTCTCAGATTTTCTGAGATTTTTTCCATGCCCAGCTAAAATGCTTGCTTCCCCAGATCCACTTGTAACACTTGGCAGACAATACTGTTTACAACTTATTTGTAAGAAGTCACTATGCTCTCAGGAAAAGAGCATGGACAGTATGCATGTGTCTTTTGCCTTCTGTCCTTCTTCCTGTCTGCAATGGAGATGCAATGCCTGGAAGTGCATCAGGTATCTTTCCATCAAGAAGATGGTGCAACACATGAAAGATGGCAGGGCAGGAAGACAACAAGTCTGTGTCTACACTGGCATCTTTTAAGCCACCACATGGACCATGGATTACTTACCTCCAGGTCTATTGCTATATGGTGAGGAGGGAGCTGACAGGGAACATAACTTGCTTAAGCCACTAGATCCAGGATTCTGTTACATGCATCAAGAAATTACCAGAAGGGAGTATATTCAATTATAGTTAAAGTATACATTCATGTAAAAAATTATCAAATACTATATCTTATTACTAACACCAAACGACCTAAAATTGACATTTATTTGTTAATAGTTATAGAACTTTGGATTCTTACATACCCACTTACCTACAGAAACACACTCAAAGCTAGCCCACACACAGACCTATTGTGCCAATCAGATATTTACCAAATACTTATTAACATTGATTGAATAAAGCATATGTGTTTTTCAGAGTAATTTTTTTTTGGCTACACTGTGTAGAAATGCTATAGATCTAGTGAAAATGTGTAAATTTCAGGATAGAAACAAATAGCCGCATTAGAACTTCTGTAATTTCAAATACATACAATGGAGGCAATGACAAGTAGACCAGAGTTTGATCCCTCTTTGCAACCAGCTGGCCACTAGGTAATTGACAAAACATTTGGAATAGAATATTGAATTCTGCATATCAGGTTCTGATTCTGCACTCTTTGGCATAGGACAGAACATCATAACCTCTGATCCTCAGTTTTCTCATCTGAAAAACTGGGATAATGCTACCTGTTCTAGTTATACAAAGTTATACAGAGGATCAAATAAGATATGGTAAATAAAGCTTCCTTATAAACTGTAAACTGCTATATAAATCAGGGTAACATGATTATAATTAACTTATAAGCTTAACTTTAATTATCTGGGGGGTAACTAAACAGCAGATGAATTATCAGATTTAGTGGCCCCCCTCCATGACTGGTAGCCATTTGCACTAAAGTAAATAAAGCAAGAAAAATGGCAGAAACTACAACTTAGAAAAGCCTATTTAAATTTAAAAAATTCCAATAAGTATACAGGGAGTGGCCAGGCATGGTGACTCATGCCTATAATCCCAGCAATTTGGGAGGCCAAGGTGAGAGGATTACTAAGCCCAAGAGTTTAAGACCAGACTGGGTAACATAGCAAAACCTCATCTCTACAAAAATTAAAAAAAATAATTTGTCAGGTGCAGAATCACCTGAGCCTAGGAGGTTGCGGTAAGCTGTAATCATGTCCTACACTCCAACCTGGGTGACAAACTGAGACTTGGATCACAAAAAATAAAAAAAGCATACAGGAGGTCCCCTACATACGAATGAGTTCTAAGAGTACGTTCGTAAGTCCAGCTTGTTCGTAAGTCCAACAAAGTTAGACCAGGTACCCAACTAACACAATCGGCTACTAGCTACATCACTGCTGCTTTTCTACTTGCTTCTGGACATCCTGGGCTTGAAATAAAGATACTGTACTATTGTACTCTCTGCAGTACTGTACAGTACGCAAAAGCACAACCACTTGTAGAGGTTACACGCATGTAACAATATACACCAAACACATGAACAAACTTACATGACTGGACAAGCGAACACCCATCTGCATCTTTGAAAGTCTGCAATTTGAAGGTTCATATATAGGGGACTTAGTGTACAGGGAGACGAGGAGGCGGGAGAAGAGTAGACGAAGGCAAGTAGTTCCCATAATGGTCTAAGATTGCAATGGAAGGGTAACAGAAGTAGAGCCCTGCATTTTCATTTTAAAATGTCAGGTAAGTTGCCCTTTTAAGAAAACCATTTTCTATGACTCAACATAGTTGCTCTCTAATTACTTAACGACAAATAAGTAAACTAGGCAATAAAAACTCCTCCTAAAAAAAAGCCACATAATTTTAAAACAAATACATACATTTGCCCACTAGGAAATTCAGTCCAGGCATCGCTAGTGCACTGCACTATCTTGCAGGTTTCCCTGCTTCTATCACCATTCTCACACCTCCTCCACCACCAGCATGCCCCACTCTGCCTGCAGCTACCACACACAAAGATATCAAGAATATCTGATAAATCTAACTAAATGAGCTCTGCATTTTTATGGGAGCCCATAAGAATACATCAAAGTAGATGCAGAGACAGCCTTAACACAGTCATGGTAGCAGCAGCTGGGGAGTTCGGGACTATTTGCCAAAGGGAATGGCATTAATGATTTGAATTATTAGAGCATGTACCCATGTCCTCAATTAAGTAAAGGCTCCATAAAGGAAAATAAGGGCACATTCCTTTCCAGGAGTCCTGATAGTTAGAACATAGAAACACAACATTAACATGCTTTATTCCAATGACACAGGCCACAAAGCCTGAAAACACCCTGTTAGTGCCCAATGAATGTCACTCTGCCTTTCTTTCTTTTTTTTTTTTTTTTGAGTTGGAGTCTCACTCTGTCGCCCAGACTGGAGTGCAGTGGCCGCTCCCGGCCACCGCAGCCTCGACCTGCTGGGCTCCGGCGATCCTTCCGCCTCAGCCTTCCAAGTAGCTGGAATTACAGGCATGCGCTACCACGCCCGGCTGATTTTTTGATTTATTGTAGAGATGAGGTCTCGCTGCCCAGCGGGTCTCAAACCCGCGGGCTCAGGCAATCCACTCACCTCGGCCTCCCAAAGGCGCGGGATTACAGGCTGAGCCACCGAGCCCGGCTTCACTCTGCCTTTCTAAAGGAACAGCCTCTCTGCTGATGTAGTGAGGTTTGGCCTTGGTGGCATCACCCTGCATCATCCTGCAGTAAATAATCCCCTTCCAAAATAATAATAATAGAAGTTAGAGTGACTGTAGATAAGAAAAGCAGGCAACAGGGTACACACGGGTACTAGAAAAGGAACAGTGTGTAAACTGCTTAACTCATTCTTCAGACAAAGGTTGTTGTGAAAACATTCCTGATGGATCATTTCCTGCATGTAAGGCTTTTAGGGGTAAGATCTGCCCAGTGGCCTCGTATCATGATCTCAACGAAGGGACTTTCGTTGTGAAGATGTCTCAATCCTCCCTAACCATGTAGGCTGCCAGTTGTCTTTTGTTTTAAACAGGATATGGTCCACTTGTTACATCTGCGGCTTCCTCACCCGACTATGGTTTTTAATGATGAAAAGGTGAATGCATTGGTTTTAGTCTGATTATATTTTTAAAAACCATGCTCTTTCCATCCAAAGCAGCCTCTTGACTGATGGGAAGTAATGAACTAATGAACTACTTCTGCCTAGACTGGAGTCAGGGCTGGGATAACTTAGGTCTTCCTGTAGAATGGCCTCTGCTGTGGACTGGAAAGCACTGTCAACCCTATGATAACGTGTGCCCTAACCTGGGCTAAGTGGCAGGTCACCAGGCTCAAATCTACAAGGGGTGCTAAGATATGACAGGTAATTTCCCAGGACAGAGAAACTCATTTTCAGCAGAACACTTCTCAGGGAGGGTTCTCTGTGTTGTTAGAAGGAATGCTCCAATATACCACTCACTCCCCGTTCCCTGAAGACAATTCTAAAAGAGTAAGAACTGGTTTCTAAATTGCTGAATTGTCCTCTAAGAAAACCTGGTTTCCTGCAGAGTTTTTTTTTTCCCCTCCAGACTAGGGTACAAATCTAGGCTTAGAGCTGAATTGCTGGGTAGGTTAGATGTGCTCAACCACACATTCCAAAAAAATGTGGAACGTAGTTTAAAGAGGAATCAAATTATTCATCAGTCCTAAGTATTCAAGTCCCTTGGTGTAACTGCGACCACTCTCCTGTGTTTATACCCTATGGAAAAGTGGCTTGGGAACACAGACTCTTTGATGCAATGCTTTCTGTTCATTAAACTAGACACTAAATGCCAAGACTGTATGCCCCAGAGTAAAACAAAGCTATTAGCCCCTTTGTCTGAGCCAAATAAAATTGTCAGACCAGATAGTTGGATAGGATGCATTTATCAGCGAAGGACCAGGATGTGATCCTGGGTCCACCAGAAACTCTACTTCAGGTGTTCAAGTCTGCATAGCAGAGGATACGTAGACTTTATGGAATGCATTCCATGAGATGAGCAGCCGTTAAGGTGGAGAATAACATTAGTTCTCAATAGTGCTATGTTTTACAAAAGGAATTAATTAAGCAGTAAACCGTGACAGGACATGCATCATGGTATCATAATCACAAGCCTCAGCTGCATTACAAGGCAAAAGGCCAAAGACTGAGAGCTTTCAACCGGCCTGGGAATGCAATTAGGGTGAAGTGCTGTGTGCCCTGGAGTGCCTTTATGCCAGGTTAAAAATTCATAGATATTACGCTTTCCCTCTAGAATACTAAAATAATCCACTGGGATGAAATTCTCTGGTAAGCCACCTTCCTTCACAATTCTTTCAAAGGTCAAAAGGAAGGACAATGTTAAACTGGGAATGCCAATGACACCCCAAGGTAATACCTGCCCAGTGGCCTAGTATCACAGACTCACTGACTGGGCTTTCTTTGTGAAGATGCTCCAACCCTGCCTAAACATCTGTTTCACCCTCCTATGAGAATCACTATTTGGGCCCAGCTTGGGCATTAATAGCTTTATTGGACAAGTGGTTCAGAGCTAGTGTCAGAAAGGGATAGAAAAATTAGCCAATAGATTTACCATCAGCATTCAGTCAGTCAGCCCCAAATCACTGGTAAATGACAGATAAAACAATTTTCAGTTCTACAAAAGAAGGCTGAAGATAAATATTAGCAACGTACTAGACTGTGACTTAGGTTAAGCCAGTCAAATCCTGCTCACACTAACTTAAAAGGAACTGTAAGAAATGTAACTTGTCCACAGTTAAGAATCACAAGTCTGTAGACTTTTGTTCAGACCTAAAACTCTAGTATGGTTAAAAGCTTATCAGGCCAATCAGAAAACTTGGCAAGTTTGAGACCGCATATTTTTAGATTTAAGCAAAAATGTACACAGAATATAAATGTGACCATCAGCCATTAAATGTTTTTTTAAAAAAAGAAAGAAAAAGAAACCCACACACAGCTGGGGTAGATTAAGTACTAACTTCAAGTCTTTTGAACGTAGTAAAAAAAAAAAATTCAAACAATGAAACTATCTACAAATCTGTCCGGAATTTAGAACACACATCCTTCTCTTTGGGTGTTAAAAAAAATTATTTTATCAATAGTCACTGGTGCAATAGAGGCATACACTGTAACGGGATAAAAACTAAAAAAACCACCCTTCTTATCTTCTCAAAACATCAAATTGTGCTAATAGAAGTTTCTCAATTCTACAAGTATTCCACAGTTGAGTTCATAATAATAGAATGTACATTGAATAAGATAAGGGAAATGGAGAAAATATTTATTTTCCTTAGAACAGCACTGGCAAAGGGTTGCTAAATTGAATCACAAATGTTTACAACACTTGACTCAAATTCTTATCACTGTTTTCCCACGAACCCAGAAGCCTGGCCCCAAAGGTTTCTGCATTCCTACTGTCCCCTCCCTCAGCCCACATTATGACATCAACAGGCTGAAGGATCACTGTGTTTATAGTATCACCTCCAAAAGTGCTCTGTTCTCATCATTCAAAGGACCGTGAGAGGGAGATCATCACCACAGAGTTCCAAAGCAGATTTTCGGGTGGACTCAGAAATGAGAGCCCTCCCCCAGTGCTTTTCCAGGTGGTATTTTTCAGCCCATTTCTGATAGCTATCACACTAGCCCAGGACAAGAGAGGCCTTGAAGTTTCTGGAAAGGGTGGTGCTAAAAAGCATTTCTCACCTGCTGCAGTATGTGTCTTTCCCTCAGCGTCATTAACCTTCTGTGAAGCTCTACCAGTTCATCTAGGTATGCCTGAAAGAGAAGAGCACCCGCCAAAAGAACAAGCCTTTTAAGAAGGAGTTCAAAAATAAGTGAGTAAGTAAGAACATACAAGCAACAGCTGGAAATTCCTCCTTCTACCACTCTACCCCAGGCTGTGTGGACTCGGTGCCCAAGGGCCTTTGCAGACCAAGTCTCTCTTGGACTGACCATTATCTTCATCAAGTCAGCTTTAAAAAAGGGAGGGGGCATGAAATTCTTGCACATATTTGTTCTTAAAATCCAGGTGCATAGACTCACCTTCCTCAACAATCTCTCTCCATAGAGGAGGGGAATTCAGTGCTAAACATGTTACCACAGGCAACAAAAAAAGGGAAATTTGAATATGGAAGCATCAATGCACTTTATGGACAATTATGTCAGGACAAATTCTTTTTTTAAAAAAAAAGTTTTCCTGATAATACCAAACATTGCTAGCAAAAAATGTTAGCAAGTGTTAGAAGAACAGAAGAATGTCCCATGACAAACCAAGGTCTCTATTTAAATTAGCATCTGGTTTGTGAGGCGCTCCGAGGAAGGACAGAGTGAGTACTTCTCTTTCCATATGCTCAGACTCATGAGTCTGTTAGCATAACAATTTGGGTGCCCCCAGCACTATTTGCAATAAAGGCAAGGAAAGACTTGTAAAGTACTAGAGAGGTCTGCCCTGATCCTACAAAGCATGTTAGGGCCCTCCCCATATCAGGTGACTTAACCTCCATCAGGCCTTGCAGTCAGATTTCAGATGCATGGCACACACACTGGGAAAACACACTGCGCTAGGGTCAGATGTCTTGCTCACCTGCACTGAGTAAACTCACCTCCTTAACCTGCTACCTCTACCACAGTTCTCTAACCTCTCAATTCAACATGCCTGAAATCTCTTGGAAATGTAGGCATGGTGGCAAACGACAGCATAAGGCCAAGCCTAATGCTGAAGATCTAAGCAAGACATGGAAAATAAACTACAAAGCATCAGGATGAAGCACTCATCATTTGGGCATCTTGGGCACTTTGATGAAGAAAATGAAAGGAGAGCCAGCAAGAATGATCAAGGGGAACACAAGAAACGAAAGACGTGTCAGTGTTGCCGCTCTCCTAGTAAACAGACTTGAAACCTACCTTGTCACATTCACCATTCTTTATTTGCTTATCTGATTTGCTTTGCTTTATTGGACTTTTCACTTCAAGAATCTAGGGATCAAAGAGAACACTGCGTTAAATTTCATTTCAAGCACCTCTTAGCTAACCAGCCACATAAACAAAGGCACTCCCTGAATGAGATGTATAATATCATCACTTTCCAAACAGTGTTTCTCCTCTATACATCTTCTTTCTTTTCTTCCCATCTTATTTTCTCTTGGAAAATAAATTACTTGTATCTGAAATGCTGAGTCAGAGCAGTAGAACTTAAAAAAACAAGTGGATGATAAGGAAATTGATCTAAGCTTCCAAGGCTGCTTCTCTTTTGCCACAACACTCTCACCATATGCACAGCAGCTGAGTAATACTGAGATTATAGTCCCCTCTGGCAAGAATTTTTTCCTATTCATTCTGCTGTTTCAGCATGACTACCAGTGCTCAGTATGCTAGGGATGATTAAAAACAAACACTCAAATGCCCTTTTTAGCACCTGACTTTCAGATTCTAAAAGTTACTCATATCCACTAGATGGATGCAGCTTTGGAAACGAAGATGGCCATGAGTAACACAGGTTGCTCCCAATTTGGGATCCTCCAACTCAAGAAATAAAGAGATAGGACTGTCTTCTCTGCTTTAAGAAATGACATGTTTACTCACGGTAAAATGGCAAGTGCCTTTCCTTGTTTCTGGACCAATTACAACTCAAGTTATGAATAGTAGTTCTGCATACTGTTCAGAAGCTTTTGGTGGGGAGCTATGTTTCTAAGTAATAAAGTAAATAAAATAAATAAGTAAATGCAGCTGATTTCCTAGAGAGCACCTTCAAAATTGAGGATTATGAGGGAAATATTTTCAAGCCCTCACCTGAAAAAGCTGAGGACCACTAAATTTCCTAATGATGCTTACAAATGTGTATAAACATTAAAAAAAAGTAATTTGTTTTCTTCATTATAACTCATTATCAAGTGAGCTGTTATAATTGGAGACTAATATTAAAATGCCAAATAAAGAACTTGTTTATTTTAAGAAGACTCATATTCCTATCATACTTCTCTTTACCCATTTTCTACCTTAACATAATCACAGTTCTGTTCACAGGTCTACCATATTCCCATGCATAAAGAAGATTTTACAAATGAGTTCACTTTTAATGTGTACTGACAAAAACACTGATTAGGCTCAGAAGTCTAAGTTCAGTTCTTAACCCTGTTATTTAACATGTTTGGACCTCAAAAGATTAAATGAGAGAGATGAACAAGATAACACCTACATTCCCATTCAGCTTTAAAATTTTATATTACTAATAGACATTTTACTTACTGAGGGTAGGACCATGACATTTTGGAAAAAAGAGAAAATGCTTCTAAAAGGGGACATTTTTCTTTGAATTGGAAATAATGCGTAGGTAAGAACTATCCTTTCAATGGAGTTTCCTGAGAATACTTATTTTTTCATTTTTAACATTAAGATAACCAAATGTCCAATTTCACCAGGCTAACTTCAGATAGAAGATTCTCAGTAATACCAGGAAATTACTTAATAGCAGAGGCTAGGCAATCGTTTGTAACATGCTCCACTGTAAAGGAAACCAAATACTCCACTACATTCAGAATTCCCTCCTCTCTATTGTTGGAAGTGAGACCTCAAGGGAAAAATCAGCGCTGTGAGACCTAGGAGTAAGTAGGTCAGTAGATGGCACTCCTCGCCAATTCAGATACTGGGCTGGGCAGGCAGAGACAATCCGCTGAGATTTCAGGCCAGAGTGGGGAGGGGAAAAAAAAAAAACAAACCAACAAGCCTGCCTGCTTGCCTTGTACATCACAGAACTGAATTTTGTTCCCATCATATTCCGCCCCCTCCCAGGGTCCCCTCCCCCAACACACTGCACTCTGGGTGCTGAAGTGACTGAGGACATTATATTTGCAATGGAACTTTGCTAACGAGGTTTAGAGAGTTCTGCCACCTTCCCTTCAAAGCAGAAAACAGAACCTTTGGACGCTTAAGTCCCACCCCACACATTCCGTAAGTGCTACAGCACAGAAGGCCAAAATACATTGAAATCCTAGTTTCTTTCTTCTGAAGCTGTAGTGGCAGGAACAAAAGCTCCGGGTGTCAGTGACCCGCCTCAAGTTACTGAGTGGCTGCCCAGAGAGGGCTCAGTTAATCTTCCTTCTTTGATCTCTCCCTGCTCCAAAATAAACAGCTTTGTCAAAACCTCGTTCTGAGAGAGCTGAGCCCTGCTGAAGACAATTGTTTTATTTATGATCATTTCTTATCTTCAGGGAAACGACTCCAGAATATAAAAGTACAACACCTTGTCTTTCATAGGCTTATTTCAAACCAGTTTAACTAGATAGAGTCTTTAATTTCATTCAACACGCTTTGCAGCTGATAGGTGATTTATGATATTCTGAATATTAACTTGGGTCCGGTGTATCACTTTCTTTCTTCTTTCTCTGCCATACTTCTGGCTAAAAAAAAAAATCTAGTATTTTGTTTTTGTTTGAAATTCACGTAAGGAAGGTTTGAAGTGAAAAAACCATCTCTGGTTAAAATGATGCACACTCTTTATATTCTGAGTTAAGCTGTTCTCAGAGAAACAGAGCCACCCGGACTGCCTATACACATTATTTATAAAGATGGCCGTCCTTGAAAACAGATGAATTGTGATTAGTAGCACTTCAGTACTTAATGTGAGGATATGGCTTGACAAACAAACTTTCAAGATAATATTTTCCTGTATCCCTTTGTGAGGAATGACAACTCAGTTATTCAGCAGATGGATTCTCCACTGATAGATCTTTCATGTTAATAATCATTAGAGCTCCTAATAATACCCAGGTTAATTACTTGCTTTGTTGACAAATGGCTCTCTTTCTATTCACTTTTTTTCAGTAGACCATGTTTGACTCAATTAGCACTTTCTCTCTTCCCTAGTCCCAGGAAGGTTTGAGAAAAGACAATAGACAATTCAGTTTTTTTTTTAGCACTTTATAGAAACTTGAGAGATCATTATCAGTTTGCAGAGAGAGAACAGCCAAGGCGTATGGAAGAAGAAAACTCAAGTCTTCCCACTCTGGAGTTAGGTTTTCCCAGGATGTTTTCATCTATTTTGTTTGATGTAAAATTTCAAATTCATCTTCTCTCTCTTTCTCTTTCCTCTCTCCTTCCCTCTCTCACACATACACACACATTCAAACATAAGACTAAAGCCCATTCCAGAGTGAAATTTAGGTCACTTGTAGATTTTTAAGAATTTCTTTTTATTATCTTACTCCATCAGCATGGAGACTAAGAAATATTAGTGATTTTTAAAAAAGAAGTCCCAGAACCCTGATACAATGCAGGTGATTTGAGGGGGTAAGAAATCAGTATTAAATACCATTTTAATAAACCTTTCCTTACCCTTAGCTCTAAGATATAAGCCAAGGAGATACGCACTATTGTGTACGTATATTTCCTACCCCAGACTAGCTAAAAGTGGAGGCATATAAACTTTCTTATTATGCTTATAGGTGCACAGAGAAAATGCCACATAACAGTATTACTAGCAGAGTGATGAGTCACATGTGTGAAGCTACATTTGTCAAAGAAACATGCCAAGGAACTAGGGGCATGCTATTTAATCAGAGAAAGTGATTTTTACCTCTTCCCAACAGATGATATTGTCCGTTTTGGGTTTGCCTTGCTAGACAGGTGAAAAACAGTCTGACAAAGAATCTAAACCTTTCCCTAAAGCCAGAGTCAGTGCAAGACTGCTGCTCAAGAAGAGCTTAAAGACAGCTACAAGGTCTGAAAGGCAAGATAGGGGCTTGGTTGGGGCCACATTTCCTCAACAAGCCCAATCTTCACTGCGACTGGGAGAGATGCTGAAAGAGATTAGTGAGGGGCACAAAAGCACACCCTTCACTCTTGGCACTGAAGTATCCTGAGTCTGATACACCACCCAATAAAAGCAGAAATCAAGCCTATTTAGATTTATACTGGATATTAGTATAGTCAGCTGGGCGCAGTGCTCAAGCTTATAATCTCAGCACTTTGGGAGGCTGAAGTGAGATTGTCTAAACCCAGGGATTCGAGACCAGCCTGGACAACTTGGTGAGACCTCATCTCTTCAATAAATCAAAAAATTAGCTGGGCATAGTGGCATGTGCCTGTAGTTCCAGTTCCTTGGAAAGCTGAGGTAGAATGATCTCCTGAGCCACTGCACTCCAGACTGGATGACAGAGTGAGACTCCAACTCAAAAAAAAAAAAAATAAAAATAAAAAAAAGTATAGACAAGGTTCAAGTTCGATTCTACAGAATTCTATTCTATCGTTTGCTCTTACTAAAGTACAAATTTACAAAAGAATCCCAAGTTAGCTAGTTAGCCAGCCTAGGGTTCTTCTCAACTTACTGGCTGTTGTTATGTTTATGTCTTTCCTCTTTTTTCTCTCCCCGGAAATGCTTGACTTGTAGTGATGGGCAGCCACACCTGAGGCAAAAGACGGCTGAGCCATGGGCACAGCTGGCCCTCGAGATGGAGATGGGGAGACATAGGGACAGCAGGGAGCCAGGATATGGAATAAGAAGTAACTAGGCTGGGTTAGGTGGCTCAGCCTGTAATCCCAGCAATTTGGGAGGCCGAGGCGAATGGATTACCCGAGCCCATGGGTCGAGACTAGCTTGGGCAACTTGGCGAGACTTCATTTCTACAATAAATCAAAAAATTAGCTGAGTGTGATAGCACACGCCTGTAGTTCTGGCTACTTGAAAGGCTGAGGCAGAAGGATCGCTGGAGCCCAGCAAGTCAACGCTGGGGTGGCCGTGAGTGTGCCACTGCACTCCAGCCTGGGCAACAGAGTGAGACTCCAACTCAAAAAAAAAAAAAAAAAAAAAAAAAAGAAGTAACTAACTCTCTGAACGCCCTATCTGCAACAGGTGATGAAGCTGGGCTTTTGTTCATACATAAGACAACGGAACTGCAGGTGAATGGTAACTGGTACAGTAGAGAACACTGGTATCATTCTTACTTAAAAGTGAAGGATTTAAGTTAAAGACAAAGATTATAAATGAGGAATTTTAAAATTTAAGAGATTTTTGTTTGTGCTTTATACAAAATTTAAAAATAAAATGTCATCAGATGGCTGGGCTCAGTAGCTCAGCCTGTCATCCCAGCACTTTGGGAGGCTGAGGCAAGTGGACTGTCTGAGCCCACAGGCTCGAGATCAGCCTGGGCAACTTAGCGAGACCTCATCTCTACAATACAAAAAATCAAAAATTAGCTGGGCGTGGTAAGCACGTGTCTGTGGTTCCGGCTACTTGGAAGGCTGATGCAGAAAGATACCCAGAGCCCAGCAGGGCGACACTGGGGTGGTTGTGAGTATGCCGTGGCACTCCAGCCTGGGCAACAGTGAGACTCTAACACATACACACTCAAAAAATGTCACCAGGTATAAAATAACATTTTTCAAGTAGAAGAAAGATCACACATTCAAGGGCAAGACTATCTAAAATAGTCTTTGTTGGACATCTGTAACAGAATATCTTCAGAAAAACACAGTTCTTTAATTTTCAAGTTAATATTCATACAGTAACTTGAATTAAGCAACTATTGTAGAGGTCACAGGAAATCTGTCTAAATGAAAAGATAAGAATAACTTAAATAAGTATCAACTCAATGCATGATGAGGTTTCACTATATTCATGGTACTTGAAACAGTATATTTTAGTAGGTAATGGAAATATTCCAATCTTACTCATTTAACAAAAAGTCTTCATCACAGCCTGCAAAGTTCTTCCTAGACCTTCTCCAAGTGATTGTATTTTGAGTTACTGTCAAATGAATAGGTTTCCCTCTGGCTTGATTTATAACAGAGATAATGACCATTACTTTCTCTGAGTTTTATTAATTATTCCTTACAATTCCAAGTAGTGATCCTTTTGTCTTAGACAAGAAAACTGTGGCAGAGCATCTAAAATAATAAACTACCATCAACTGAGTGCTAGATGGGGCTGTGTACTGCCTCCTGCTCTTTACATGTATTATTTGTCATCTTCCCAATAACCTGCAAGATTGGGTTAATGTCATTTACAGATAAAGAAACTAAGAATCAGAAGTTACAAGTTAAGTTTCCCACCAGTAAACTACCAGTAGTAAAGAATCAAGCTTTATACTAGCCCCAAAGGTCACATACATTCTAATTAAGTCACCTACTTACTGCTGATGTGTGAAGTATATAGAAGTCAGGGGTAAATGGGCAATACTTTTTGTCACCATCCTTCCTGCACCTACTAAATTGACCAATTCAATGGAACATACTCATCTTCTTGTGAATAGAGAAGTTCTTTTACCCTATGTGTTTATTCCTAAGGTTATGGCTTCCCATCTACGTGGCATCAAGAGGGCCTTCACTTACAATTAAGGGGTGAAGAGTTTTATGTGCTCTGTAAAAATAATTATGTCTAGCTCTGCGCAGTTCTGAAAAACGCAAACCCCACAATTTACCTGGTTGTTGTTGGTTTTTAATAAGGGTGGTGGAGGTTCGTGGTGGAGGGGTGAAGAAGCAGAACTGCTTTCACTATCGCTGCCATCACTTAAGCTAACTCTGAAAAGAAACAGAGAGAAGCCATACGCATCACTACAGTCGGATGATTCTTGATATATCCATGGAAATAGGCATGGAAAACAAGGAATCCAAACAACTAACCACTGAAAAGTTCATTTTAATTCACAATGACGAAAATGTATTGGTGATTACTTTACATCTGGAACTGTGTTAAGTACTTTACCTTCCATTTCTCTTTTCTTGACCTATTTCACAGATGAGTAAATTGAAATTTAGACTGTGTCACTCATCCAGGGTCACAGAGGTAGTGGGTCTAGGATTCAAACACAAGCAACATGACCCAAAGCTCATGCTCAGCCACGACACCTTGCTGGTGCCATATATTCATTTATTATCCTCTCCAACTCTACCCACCTACTATCTATCATCAAAAATGTTAGTTGACCTTAGAGAAAGTCAGCAAAATTAGACAGTTTGTAGATTACTACCTTTATTTTCCTCCCCCATGCCTCTTTGCTAGAGATTCAAAAAGCTACAAACACAGCTAGAATATAGGCTATAAGAGTGAAAACAACTGCTATGAAAAACGTGGACAACAGTCTTGCACCACGGACAGTGCAGAGTGACATTAGGGAGTGAATGGATGAAGGCCGGCATGCTAGGACCACCACCAATCATGTCTACTGTGTTACAATTCGAGGATGTTTCTAGTTATGAACATTGATACAACAGTTCATTGGAAATACACTATGGCAACACAGAAATAGTTTTGGAATAACTGCTTTAGAAAAATACAATAATATCTTTCAACAACTAAAGATGGTAAAAATACCACCTTCTCCCTAATTTTTTCAGAATAAAATGGAATTTTCTTTTAGCCAGAGTAGGAGATATTTTTTTATTCTACTCTGTTGAATGTATGCCCTCCTTCTGAAATGTCCTTCAGTGCATGTTCTCTTTCTCTGGAATCTAGTAATCTAATATCATGTTTCTCAGAAACAGAAAAGGTTTTAGAAATGAGAATAGTTTTTCTTTCACTCTGAATAGGAAACTTTATTCTAGCTCTATAATATATTCAGACAGACAAGATACAAGATGGGAAATGAAAAGGATACACTGGGACATCTTTTTAGTAAAAACTGATGGAACTTGTTTTTCTTAACTAAATTACATTAATGAAGTGTTCAGTTGAAGCAGTGCTTTAAAATGCTTCTTGACTGAAGTGGAAGGCTGAGTATTTAAACTGATTAAACAGTTGAGACTTCACAAGTGCACTGAAGATCAAATGTTATACTGGCGCTGTTGTGCTAACAGCACATGTCAGGCGGGAAAAAGAAAAGCGGCACCAAAAATGCATATCTACAGACAACTCACAAACCTCTGTGATCTGACCACATTGACTCAGGGGAGGGGTCAGTTAGGGGATGGGCAGAGCTAATCACAGAATATCCAGATCTTCTAAATAACAATTTGGGAAATTACCTAAATACATCTTTTTTCATCAACTAAATTTGAGAGCAGCCAGTGGTCAGGATTTTGGTTGGTACAAGTAAGATGCTTAAATCCAAGTTACAATCCATTTTGAAGTCTTTTTGTCGTACTAGTTTCCTTTTTGTCAGATAAAAGGCTTCTAAAGGGAAATGTATGGTCAAGACCATAAGTTTCCTTATTTTCTCCATGTAAAAGTAATACTGACAGGTAGGTGTATTTGGGAGACATGTTAGAGAAAGAGGTGTCGAGTATGGCGGTAAGGAAGAATCATTCATAGGGCACATACCCTAAGGAGGCTCTTCTCAAAGGACACTAAGGAATTGCCAATTAGGAAATACATGGTCTGTCTAGTTTGAGTTAAGACTGTATTCCTTTAGGAATTCTAGGACCTTCTACATAGTAATGGATAATAGGGAAAAATTTAATGCAATATATTACAAATGCAATTGGATTTTAAGTTCAAGTAGATTCAAATTTTTTCTACTCAAAACAAATTAAAGTAAGCATGCCTATGTATTTTCCTCATGATAAAGAAAGAAAATCCTCAAGGCAATTTCAAGTTGACTATTAATTATAAGTGACATGAATTACCATCTTATAATGTAGAATTATGCCTCACAGTATTAAAGCTACTTAAGGAACCTAATTGTCAGCACACTTAAAAGGAATTTATTTGCTGGAAAAACACACAGGTGATCCTAGTTTTAATTATGTCACACACATAATTCACTAGAGCCAATTAGGTATTTCTAACTACAAACAGCAAACACATTTCTTCAAATTCTGAGCCTATCTTCAGCAATGAAGCCACACAAACTCTTCAAATGACAACAGATTTTAGTTCAACAGTTAGTCCTGCCACATGGCATATATGTTCAAGAACAAGGACTTCTAGTGTGGCTTTTTTTTTTCCTATAAATTTTTAAGAAATTTTTTCTGAGAAAAAAGAAAAATAGTTTCTTGTAAAAACGAGTGTAAGCACGCCAAGGTGCCCCAGCTACAAAAGAATATGACCATCTACTGCATTGTTTTTGGTATTTCACAAGACACTTACCTGCGACTGCGGCTGCCTCCTCTATTTACAGGTCTCTCCATTTCAGAGTCATTGTCATTATCCTCTGCCTCATCCGATTCCTCCTCGTTGTCATCGGAATGCAGATCTTTCATTATAGATCTTAAAGGACCTGAGTAATGACAATGAACCACAGGCGATCAAACATACTACTTCAAACACATTGAGCCCTATTAGACACAGGGGAATGCTTAACAGCACTGAACACTGGTTTCAGATAATCATAATATATGTTTAAACAATTTACAAGACAAATTTGGTACAGTTTCTGGAATGCGATCTCTGCCAAAACACTATTTGTTTTCATAATAGATTCCCCAAAATGTTCCTTAAAGACTCTCTATTTTCTAGAAAATTTTTTCCTAAGAAAAATTATACCTAAAAGGAAAAAGAAAAATCTACTTGTAAATTGAATGTTTTGTTAGGTTAATCCATGTATTGAAATGTTGAGATTAATAAATCATTGTGGTTGTAACTTGTTCTTGGCAATACAGCCTTTGTGTGGTAGTTTTTGATCTATTAAGGTTGAGCTGTTCCTTTTATTTCAAGGTCAATTTCAGGTCAAGCAAGCATTTCAGTCAAGTTCAGATTATAAAGTATTTCAATTCCATGGTGTAATATCCTATCTCTGATCTTCATATTGATCTTGGACACACGGTCTTTTGCAACAATTTTAAGCAGCCAATCTTCATTTTACTTTTTAAGAAATTCCTGGCAAAATACCCGCATATATTAACATAAATAAGAACATGTAATATATCAGGTGCCCCAAAAAATCAAGACAGTATCCAATATTAGAATGGAGGGGAAAAAAAGCTATTACTAATTTTATTCTAGAACAGGACAGTACTGAAAATATACACAAACTCGTTAATGTAGCTTATTTTCACTTTACTATTCTAAATGTGATGAAAATAAGACAGATATTTTTAATCTTAACAGAAGAGATTGTAAAAGGCAATCAAAAAAACGAGAGAGGCACTTTTATTCTGGACTAGGCAATTCCTAAAGCTAGTCTGTGATAGGAATATCTGAACAATCACAAACTCAATTCTAAAATAAGAATTCCCTGCAACCTCATTCTGTAAAACCCAAATTTCTCTACTTTTGTAGTGGGTTTATTTCTTTGAAAGTCAGTGGAACAGGACCTGTGAGTAGCCCAAACAATTACTGTGTTCTTTATTTTTTTCCTGGAAGCTCAGCCTTAGTCCAAACGTACACAATAATTTAATCCTTTTCAAAACACACAAAGCCATCAAGAATTCAGTATAGCCAATTAAAAAGATGATGTTCAATATGATGCTAAAAAACATATTATTCTTTGATATTTAATGATTTTTAATGAAAAAAGAGCCCACATTTGAAGAGTTTCCACATGCACAAAAATGGAAAATATAATTAGTTAAATGTTCTAGTTTAAATTTCTTTGTTCTGGGTTCTAGTTAACACTTGGTAATGAGCAAAGGAAAAAAAATACTTAAAAGAGAGCCAGTTAACGTTTCCTCAAAAAGGGTCTATTAACCTGTAGAAAAATAAATAAAAGATGTCCAGGAGAAAGAATAAAAACCTATTTCTCTATGTCAAAGCCTCTTAAGTCTAGCTTTTACGACAGTATTTCCTCCGGGAACTCCCTGGAATGGGCTATGTCTATCAACCTTTTGTGAAATGGGAATCTGATGGCAGGGACTGGAAAAAGGGGAATTTCAAGAGTCTGGCCTCATACATCAGAACAATACTCAAACATATTCCTAAGGGAAATAAATACAACTGCTTAAAAGCCAAGTTATCATTCAAATAATAAAACAGTAGAAGATAGGTCATAAATCAACTCATTAAGATGTTTCATGAGAAAAATGTCTCCTAGATGTCTTGAGAGACGTGGATACCTTGTTGCCTGGTCTGGGACGGTGTGAAGCTGGAGCTGGAACTGGAGCTGGAACTGGCAGGACTGGGTTGTTCAGACTTTGGAGAAGAGAAAGCCATCATCAATACATGTATGGGACACTACACATCTCAAACTGAAAACTGCACTGCTGCTCAAAATTTTCTCCACAAAAATGACTGCACATTTCATTATGCCACAATACTAACACAGGAGAGTCATGCTGTACTTTTTGTTTGGCCCACCTTATTTTTATTAGATAAAGAGGCAAATATATAAGCTCAAGGATGAAGAGATAAACGCCTGGGTGTTACGTGAGGAAAAAGCCTGGCTTTGATTTTACTTCTATGTTTACTGCTATATGGATCTCTTTCTGAGCGATACCTTGATTACCCTTTCTGCAATGTTTGATTGATTCAACTGGTTAAAACATAGTGGTAATGAGGCCAAGGTCATTAGTTCAATCACATTATGAGCCAGTTAATTTCACTCTAGTCCAAGGCCATGACCCAGTCCTAACCCCATTCATCCACAGTTCACAAGTGGAGGCAATGTTCACAACGAGAGCCAGTCAAGGTTCACAAAGTCAGGGGAAATATTGCCATTATTATTATTTTTTGAAAATTCCCTTTAATTTCACAGTTTGTTAATGACAGAGAAAGAGAGTCATACACACATCCCAATCTCTTAATCTTAATGAATTCTCCTCATCCTTTAATTCCCAGGACAAGTTCCACATCCTCTTTGACCCACTCAGCTCAGTTCTCTTCCTTTTCCAAATCCATAGAAATGTACTAGGATAGATCATCTGTTTGCTTGGTAGATAAGCTGCAGTATTGTGCTGACTCTGATATGTCTTTTTTCCCCAGATAGATTGCAGACTGCCAGCACTCGAAAAATCAGGGATTTGTCTTGTACTTCTTGTTATGCCCCTGTACTTAACATAATACACTGCATACAGCAGGCACTCTACATCTGTGACTAAGGCTGTACATTAGATCCTCTGTTCCACTGTCTGCCACTGTCTTTTTATGAAAGACATCATAGCAGGTAAAGCAGGTAAATACAGGTAGGGCAGATACTTGGGCAGATGTGTACAAAGAAACTGATCATACGAACAACACATTTGAATTTACTTATTTAAGGCCAAATTCATGTTAAAATAACTCAGTCATGTTAATAAATTTGGTTGTATGAGTGGACTCTTTCCATCCAATTTCTGGTGTGTTCACAGTCTCAACTACATGCTCATGTTATTTGAGAAATATTTAAGGTCTTCCTGTATATAGAATGTATCTTTTTACTTTACTCAATGGGTGACCAAGTTGGAGGAAAAATGAACACAATCAGAAATGAGGATGAGAATCTCGGTTCTGTCTCTATTTCAGTTTCTCGCCACTAATATTTTTCAACTCCCTTCCCAGCACTGAACTCCCACCCCCTTCTCCCTAAGTAGCACCAAGCTCTACCGACTTGGACACAAGGAAGCACTTTCAGGCATTCCTAAAGCACACTTCACATCCTCAGGCTGGATGGGAAAACAGGTGTCAGCAATCTACCAGTCATTCTGCAGGAAAAGAGCCAGACAGGATCACTAATGAGCAGCAGGCAGCCTACCAACCCTTCACCACTGCAAGATTTCCTTGAGTATTGTAGTACAGCATCTTGCACATTGCTGCTTGTGGACCACAAAGAAGAGTTGGTTTACAAGTACAAAAGCCCGTGTGAGATACCCTTCACTTCTGTTGAGTGGCTCTTCTACTGTTGAGCTCCAATGGTGAGTTACACAACTGAAAGAGCATTCAGTTGGCATTTATGTGCAATGCCCAGCTGTAAAACATTTCTCCCAGTGTTTGCAGAGTACTTCTTTTCCTAAGTTGCTCTTTTCAGTCATGAAAAGTGCCTACAAATGATATTATTTTGATAGCTCTGGAAACCATTTGGAAGCCAAAAGAGAGGTTTCCTTACAGCAAGCAGAGAGAGCTCTAATTCCTCATCCTGCCTGACCAGCACACATTGTACTGAACTTAAAGAAGTCATTCTGCCAGAGCTATTTGCTGAGAGTGACATTAACTAGAATGACAAGAAAAGAGAGTGGCAAGCTCTCCAACTACCTGACACTAAACGTGACCCATCTGTCTCAAGCATCGTGCCAATTTCAGAGCTAGACATGGAGACAGCTTTCTTTTAGCTTCTTCCCATAAACAAGGTCAATAATTCCTCAGTTGCTAATCACCAGAAAACTGACAAATAGAGAAGAATGAAATACAATGGGAGAAAGCACTTTTTATCCAACATTTATGATTAATGCCCTGCCTCTGCCACAAAGGTTTACAAGAGAAGCCACATTATTTCTGTAAGAAAAAAAAAATTGAAATACAAAGTTTAAAGTAAAAGAGTCAGATGAAGAATAAAATTCTGACTATGGGAAGCAAAGCAACGTCCTGGAAGGTTTTAGTAGTCAGGACAAGCATTTGTGGAATGCAGAGATGATGGGACTTTAAAATGACAGAAAGCAATGAGTCTCACACTTTCATGGGTAACAGAACCACAGGAGAACTTGTTAAAACAAAGACTGTTGCCCTACCTCAGAGTTTCTTATTCAGTAGGTCAAGGGAGGGGACTGTGTGGGATAAGAACATGGATTTCTTACAAGATCCCAGGGGATGCTGATACCGAGGGTCCAGAGACCAACTATACTTGTGAGAAGCACCAATCTAGCACCCAGAGACAGATAATCAAAGATATTCAACAGAACCAGTTGGGAGAAGTCTATGCCTGAGGAGATTCTAATTTAATAGGTTTGGGGGAAGGCACAACCAGGCAAGTTTGTAAAAAGCTCAACTAATTATACTGATGAAAATTCCAGACTGAGGCCACTGATTCTAAGTCAGCTTTTGTTCCCCCCAAATGAAAAAAAAACACAAAAAAACAGAAACAAAAAACAAAAACAAACAAACCATGTTTTAAAAGAATTTTACATTTAAGAAAGAAAAATTAGAAACATAATGATTAATCCAGAGGTAGCATCCCTGCATACTCTTCAAAGTGAGTTGCAAGAAAACACAGGACACAGTTACCGCTCAATGAAAACACTTATAAAGCATGTACAACCGTGTTGTGCTAGATGGATCTTAAGCTGACAAGCATAGAATTCAGCTGAATGTTAACTGCTCAAAAAACTGTTCTACCACTAGAGGAGGCTGATACTGTCTTAAATTTCAGCAAGTCCAACCAACGAAATTGTAGCTTCTTTAAGTGAAGTATGAAGGTTATTTTTTTATGACATTTACCCTCAAAAACGCAAATCAAGAATGATTATATAAACCACAGAGTGCTATCTGCTTTATGAAAAACATTCACCCTAAATAGCTTAAGATCTTTACAGGCTCTAAGGTTTGAAAAGATATAGTATCTTCCATTCCTAATCCCATTCCCTAAGAAACATTTAAAATATGTGTGTTTGTAGCTCTGCACATGTATGGACATGTGCATGTGTGAATACTAAACCAAAAATTAAGAGTAAGAAAGGCCAATGAAGTTTTGCTTTTTTCCCCTTCCTTACTAGATACTTGCTTTTAAAATATCAAAATCCTCCTTACTAAAAATTTTTACTTCTTCTTGCTGACATCCTAACCACGTGCTTAGCTCATCTACCGAGCAATCAAATACTAACCATGAAGTTTCCTTAAATGGTATGCTCCACAGAAATAAAAGTACAGGCACAAATCGTTTCATTACGCCATGTTTCTAACAATATGTACTCACTTTGTGTTTCTGTATCACATTCTAATAATTCTCACAATATTTCAAACTATTTCATTATTATCATGTCTGTTACTGTGCTCTGTGCTCAGTGATCTTTGATGTTACTATTATAATTGCTTTGGGACACCACAAACCTCACCAAATAAGATAGCAAACTTAATAAATGTGTGTATATTCTGATTTCTCCACCCACTGGCTGTTCCCCCACTAGTTCCCTCTTCTTATGCCTCCCTATTCCCTGATACACACCAATATTGAAATTAGGCCAATTAATAACCCTATAGTGGCCTCTAAATGTTCAGGTGAAACAAAGAGGTGTACATCTCTCACCTTCAAATCAAAAGCTACAAATGAGTAAGCTTAGTAAGGCAGGCATGTCAAAGCCCAGATAGTCCAAAAGCTAGACCTCTTGTACCAAACACTTAGCCAGGTTGTAAAGGCAAAGGAAAAGTTCTTAAAGGAAATTAAAAGTGCTATTCTAGTGGACACATGAATGATAAGAAAGCAAAACAACCTTATTCCTGATATGGAGAAAGTTTCAGTGACCTGGAAAAAAGATCAAACCAGCCATAACATTCCCTTAAGCCAAAGCCTCATCCAGAGCAAGGCCCTCTCTTCAATTATTTGAAGGCTGAGAGAGGTAAGGAAGCTTCAAAAGAAAAGTTTGAAGCTAGCAGAGCTTGGTTCATGAGGTTTAAGGACAGAAGGTATTTCTACAACATAAAAGTGCAAGTTGAAGGGCAAGTGCTGATGCAGAAGCTGCAGCAAGTTAGCTCTAGCTAAGGTCACTGATGAAGGTGACTACACTAGATAACAGATTTTCTGTATATGAAACAGCCTTCTATTGGAAGAAGATGCCATCCAGGACTTTCATAGCAAAGGAGGTGATGGCAGTGCTTGGATTCAAAGTTTCAGAGAACAGGCTCTCTCATTAAGGGACTAACCCAGCTGCTGACTTTAACTGGTAATGCTTATTTTCATTTTGAAAATCCAAAGGCCCTTAAGAATTATGCTAAATCTACTCTGCCTATGGAGCAACAAATCCTAGATTGCAGCACATCTGCTTACAACATAGTTTACTGAATATTTTAAGCCCATTGTTGAGACCTACTGCTCAGAAAAAAAGATTTCAAAATAGTGCAGCTCATTGACAATGTACCTGGTCACCCAAGGGCTCTGATGGAGAGGCACAAGGACACAAGTGTTTTCATGTCTGCTAACACAATATGCTCAACATGCATTCTACAGCTCATGAATCAAGAATAATTCTGACTTTCAAGTCTCAATACTTGAGAAACATATTTTGTAAAGG